CTACCAGAGCTCCTTCAAGGGAAAGACTAGTGAGTCATTCATCTTTGCCATGTCAGTGAGATTAGCCACAATAGCAACATTACTCTTATATGTTTTTCTACCATAAATAAGCAATGTTTAATTGATGGCTCAATATAAACACATTTCCCATTGATTTTAGATACTATTTCTTATTCATTGGGGTGTTTGGAATTGCCATATTAGGCTCATCTCTGAATTTCATAAATTAATGTGGAAATACCACATAATGTGTGGCAAGAAAAACTTCTGTTGTGTATTTAATCACTATTTTTGCTCACATGTTAAATTAAATTGCATGTAATGTCCCTGCACAGTCCCTGGAACACAATGAGCACTCAAAAAGGGAAGGTGGTAGTTTTTAGCATCGTGGTTGTTGATGTTAATGTAGTAGCTGTTGTGGTCATTATCATCAGATGCTGTCAAGTCAGTTCAGACTCATTGTGATCATATGCACAACAGACTAAAACCCTGCCCAGTCTGTGCAATCCTCACAATTGTTATAATTGAGCCCATTGCTGCAGCCATGTGTTAACCCATCTCCTTGGGGGTCTTCCTCTTTTTCACTGACTCTACACTTTACCAGCTGCAATGTCCTTCTCGAGGGCCCAGTCCTTCCTGGTAGCATGCCCAAATTGTGAGCGATGAAGTCTCACTATCCTGGCTTCTAAGGAGCATTCTGATTGTACTTCTTCCAACATGAATTTGTTTGTTCTACAGTGAGTCCCTAGTACTTTCAGCATTCTTAGCCAACAAAGTCTCTCAAATGCATGAATTCTTCTGTGATTTTCTTTATTCATTATCCAACTTTCACATGCATAGGAGATGACTGAAAATACTATGGCTTGGGTCAGGCGCACCTTAGTCCTAAACTGGTATCTTTGCTCTTAAACACTTTAAACAGGTCTTTTGCAGCAGATTTGCCTAATGCATTACATCATTTCATCTCTTCACTCCTGGTTCAATGAGTGTTGATTATGGATCCAAGCAAAATGATGTCTTTGACAACTTTAATCTTTAATCCATTTACCATGATGTTATTTACTGTTTGAGTTGTGGGGATATTTGTTTTCTTCACATTGAGGTACAATCCAAACTGAAGGCTGTAGTATTTCCTCTTCATAACTAAATAATTTAAGTCCTCTTCACTTCTAGCAATCAAGAATATTGCTGGTTGTTAATGAGTCTTCCTCCAATCCGCATGCCACATTCTTCTTCATCGAATCCAATTTGTTGAATTATTTGTTCATCATACAAATTGGATATATATGATGAAAGGATCAAACCCTGGCATACATCTTTCTTGATTTTAAACCATTCAGTATCTCCTTGTTCTGTTCACACACTACCTCTTGGTCTATGTATAGCTTCTTCATGAGTATAATTAAGTGTTCTAGAATACCATTTAGTCACAATGTTATC